GGGGGAGATCCATTTAGACAGGCTCCCTTCTCCAAGTTTCCACCAAGGCAGGTTCGACTGTTTTATATAGAGCCTTTGAAAAATCAAAGAAACATAATGAATACAGATTTGAAGCTTTAATGTCTCTTTTCGTTAACACTGTTGGGGTGTTTACAAGTAGGCATAATATAACATTTGACTACCTTTGACAGGTGCAAAGCTATTTTGTTTGGCTTTTTAAAAAGATATTTTTGGTCTTAGTCATTCTTTCAATATTTTCTCTGATGTGACAGTCACTTTAAACAAGATATTGTCAGGCCCATTAGTTCTTCATTTCAGAACTGAGTGTCCGTTTGTTTGTGGTTGTTTTATTCATTAATTTTTTCCCGACTGTTACTTTTGAAAAGTTTTTCTATCATGTGCATGTATTCTGGTCGTTTGTCTAAAAATCCTTTTTTGTCCATTAAAATACCTCCACCATGCAGCCTGTATCAGAACACATTTTTCTCTACACCTACTTCTTAATAAATCATTGACTTCACGTAGATCTTAACGTTTTCAATATCATATTTTGTTTGTCTGCCCTCTCTTATCCGTTAATTTTCCAAAGTCCTCTGACATCTATTTTTTAAACTGATTTCTCAGATTTTGAGAGGCGGCCAAAGCCTACTCTTATCGATTTTAGGCCACCAAGGGATCTTCAACGTATGCAAGTTTCACACGGGATCCCCTATATTTTTCGCCCTCCTCCGAGAAGGCTAGGTGCAGATCTTTTCTTCAAGAAGATAAATGGTGTGGCTGAAAGACACCAGTAAGAAGGCACCAAGGAGTAGCAGTAGTAGAAAGGCAGCAGAAAGAGTCAGAAGCCCAGAGAAGGGGGCAAAGGAGATGAGGGGGGGGGGGGGAGAAAGAGGAGAAGAAAGCTAACGACAGAACATTGCTGGAGAGCAGGAAAGGAGGTGAAAGGAGACAATTTTAGAGAAGAATTTTTTTCCGACCCGAGCCTTTGAATGAGAGGCAAACACCTCAACCTCAAGGCCACGAGAGCCCCCCTTAACTAACTTTCTATACTTGTCTCCTACCTTATGAATAAAGTGTCACACGGCTTTTATATCCTAACTTTTTCGTTGTTTTGTTGTCTTTCCCAGGTCTTCATGAGATTTTCCTGGTTCTTCATTGTTATGCTCTGGTGTCGGTGCTTTGATAATACTTGGATGACACCTCAGTCTGTAGATTTCCCTCGTTCAAATTTAATTTTAGCTTCTATGACTGTCTGACAGTCTCCAAATAACTTTGATGTTCTGTGCTGTTGCCATGTCAAATAAAACCTTACACCGTTGTATAGGTTCTACCTCCTGAATATATTGTTATTATTATTATTACATGTATTGTCTTATTATCCGTTTTTTGAAAGCCACCCCTTTCCCATTTAACTTGTGAAAAGACCTGATAATATATATGAAGGCTTTATGGCTGATGTTAGGGGACGGTACGCCCCAATAGCGCTTGGCGCTAGGGGACCGTACGCCCCCATAGTGTTTGGCGCTAATTATAGGCCTATATTATACTATTATCAAGTTTCATTTTCCCCATCCCCTTATATTACGTTTTCTAGTTTGCCTTTCTTATGCATAGTCCTTACGTCTCACGGAGTCAATAAAAAGTTTGGGTCTAGATTTTGTTTTGATAGATGATAATCGGGCGTCACCTTCTGTCTGTGGCGGTCGCTACTAAGCGAGGAATTCTGATCGCGATAGTCGAACCTGCCGTAACGGAAACCTGTGTAAAACGGAAACCTTTCTTAACGGAATCTCCGCCCCCCCCCCTTGATATATTCCTCTTTAAATACCTGTATAAAATGGAAATCTGTCCAATGCAGAAACTGAAAGAAAAACCCGTTCCCTTCCCGGGGGTTTTACCTGTCTCCTACGGAAAATGCTTTCCCACTCAGCCCTGATTTGAAACAAAACTCGCAAATTTGGTTCCGCCGGTTATCTTAACGCCATGCCGCCGGGCGAGGAAGGGGTGCAGGGTGCAATTTGAGGGTAGATGTTACCCCATATATGTGAGCCCTGAGTGATATAGATGGTCAGGGTAGTGTGGGTATGAAATCTCACGAGTGTCAGTGAACGTGCTCGAGTTGCGAGCCACCACGGAAACATTCCTGGGTAGCCAGAAGCCAGAGGTGTGAAATTAGTTTGACCAATGCCTGCTCCCCCTTTATCGTACGGCCAGCCGAGAAAAGAGTTCCTCGAATCGTTGTGTTACATGGCAGTGAGTGTAGCATTGGTTGACTGTGCTTATTACACCGATGGGTGGGGCTAAGGGTGGAGGCAAAGGAGATGTTCAAACGTTTCTGGTTTTAGAAAGTCAAACAGCGGTCCTATGAAATGCAAGCGCTGGTGGTGATTCGACAAGGAGAGGATAGCAGTTGGGAGGTGTGAAGTTTTGACCCCCGCTTGATGACCGGACAAGCTCCCCTTGATCCCATCGGCAGGGCCTTTGAAACCACCTCTACCTCCCGCATAAATCCCATGTCTAAGACGGAAAATGTCTAAGGTGGAATTTCTTTCTGTCTCCCTTGCGATTCTGCTTTACACAGGTTCGACTGATACTTGTATGTACCATCTGTCAGTAGTAGTATTCTGCAGAAAGAACTTTACTCCAACGTACGCATGTAGGGGTGAGCAGAGTTAACTGGGACACCATAAAATTTTGGCTCGCCACAATTTTGACAGTTCATTCTTTTTCTTTTGAAAAATTCAGACATGATATGAGTTAAACGTGAAACAACACCCAAAAGATCAAATAACACTACATATTATATAATAAAGCACATGCTGTTGTTTCCATAAATAACATAGTTGCACATGGTTTCAAACATGACATAATATGCAAGTGGTGAACTGGGACTGTTGCTGGAAAATTGGGGCTGTGAATGGGATGAAGTGGAACATGGCTTCACACTTCACAGATGATAGGAGCCATGTTGGGGAGGGGGAGGGGGAGGGGGGGGAGCTGAGGCTGATTTGTCTTGACCTCTCATTAATCGATCAGTTACAGCTGATGGCAAAGTTCATGGTCTTCAATAAATCGCTACCGGAGAATTACAAAGTTCTATATGACATTTTTTTAAAGCGTTTTGAGCTACTAAAACCATGAGGTCAGAAACCAAATGTTCTACATATATTTGCATTATCAGAATCGTAAGCTTATTTGGAGTCGTTATCAAGAGACTCAAAGAATTGCATTCGAAAAAGCTTGGCATGTTGTGAAACTCAAATTTTTGACGTCACAATTCTAAAAAACTAGGTACTGAGAGGGTAGAACTTTGTAATTCTAAGGTAGCGAAATATCACTTAATTCAGAGGCCAGATCACTGAGACTCTGGAGCCAGACAAAAAGTTTTCAGGAATGGTTGTCCTGATCCATGCCTTGCTCTTCAGAGACGTTAGATGGTGATTATGTTATTTCTTGGATTTTGGAGCGTGGGGCTGTTTGCATGGGGCCAAAGATAGTTCTATCTAATGCTTGTGTGTGGTAATTGCAGACAAAAAGATCTATTTGGCAAGTTGAAGAGAGAATTGATAATTTATTACCCTCATGATTGTACAGTATTGGAATCACTTGATTCCCCTTTTTGGGACAAGCAGAAGAAATTAATAGTATTCCATTACTTTAGGGAAAATGTGTAAGTTCCATTGTTACACACAAAGCCGAGGGATTCTTCAACCGCTCAATTCATATTTTGACAAAATCAAGCAAAACAAACGCGCACACACACACACACACACACACACACACACACACACACACACACACACACACACACACTCACACACACACATGCACACACACACACACACACACTCTCTCACACACACACCTATCGGGATATTTAATTTTTGTGCTATAAATACCTAACATTAATTTTGAGCACTTGGATCTTTGAAACATAAAGAGAAATGGTTAAGGAATAGGAAAATGCAAAAAACAATCAAACAAACAAACTGTGTTCCGATTGATAGTTGATTTCTCTCTATTTGATGGGTAGAAAATGCCCCTTACCCGGACCGCCTAATTATGTTAGACGGTTTTTAACCCAGTTTTGTTTAATTTCAAAACGAATTTTAATGTTGAAAAAGTATTTTTTTTAAAGTTTCGTTTCTGGTACACTTAAAGTTTTCAGCGATGATAACCGCAGTTACACTTTCCTCTGGAAAAGATAAAATGGCGCTGACGTAATACCTCCGCTTGTTTCAGTTAGCGAGTGCGCTCGGTCGTCTAGATATAAGATGCCTGTGGCTATGACGCACTCAAATGTTTTTAAAGAAAGGTTATTTTTTAACTACATGTATTTTCCGCCTGTGCTACGTTCCTTATTAACTTCCTTGTTATTGCCCGAGCACACCACAGATCTAGGCATAGTTAGCTGTAGTCTAACCTCAAAAGACGGACCTGGGAGTTTGGTGAATGAGGTCGTTAAAGTTAAAGTTGTCTAAACTTCCTTTGTTTCGCTTCTGTTTTGCAATTCATTTGCTTTTCACTTACTTGAAGTAAGATCTTTGTCTCCAGCAGTGTCTCCTCGGTATTTGTAGTGAGGTGGTTAGGCTCTTCGCCGTCGAAGTCTAAAATTGTGAGTTCGATTTCCAAGAGGAGAAATTTGTTTTTTCATCGAGTGTCTCAGATTTTTTACTGGGGTGTTGTTATCTTGTTCTCACGGATAAATTTAATCTCCCTCCTTTCATCGATTGCTGCTCGCTTTCGTGTGTTTTATGGGAATGCCAAAAGTTAGCTCAATTTAATAAGTAGAAAGTAGAAAGATTGTAAGGGTGAGGGTTTTAACATTCCTTTCAACGCTGTAAGGTTATATTTACAAGTTGGAACCTCTGAACTTAAGTTCCATCTCCGATAAGACCGATGCAATTCGGTAGACACAAAACAACACGAGTTTAAGAATGCCGTGTTTAGGATTCCAACCATGGACGTCGGCTTCGTAGTCGAGCGTGAGACTATCTCAGCTAACAGAATGACACAGTTTTAGGAGATAGACGTGTACACTGTGAACAGGCAGAAGTTCGCTGACTTCACAAACCTTTTACTGTAACAAGAACATAACAGTTGGCAATTTGGCCTGGAAACTTAAGGGAAAGGAAAAGGTTTATTAAGCATAAATCACATGCACACCGCGTTGTGTTTGTGAAAACAGATTGGTCATTGTCTGCCCCCCACCCCATGTCCTGCTTTATGACATTGTTTTAGTGTATAGGTTCTACATTTATATGGAATTTTTCTCACACAAGTAGCCAGAAAGAAGCAAACGGTATCATTATAATATTGCGGAAGAGTGATCAACTGGACACAAGTCAGAGAAGATGGCGTTACGTCACGGAGCCCTCTCTCTAGTCCTGCTGGCCGTGGTCCTTGTGGTCAGGGTGGAGTCCGGCAAGAACTGGGCGCTGATAGTCGCCGGATCCAAAGATTACTACAACTACTTCTCTCAGGTAAATCTCTCTATGTAAAATCCACCTCTTAACTTTGTATACTTTATATACTTTCATATAAAATGCATGGATATTGTATACATTAAATTTGTGTAGCGCATATCACACACACACACACACACACACACACACACACACACACACACACACACACACACACACACACACACACACACACACACACACACACACACACACACACACACACACACACACACACACTTAAACGCACACTAGTCTTCTCTCTGTCTCTCTTTCTCCCTCTCTAGATCTAGCTCTCTCTCTCTCTCTCTCTCTCTCTCTCTCTCTCTCTCTCTCTCTCTCTCTCTCTTTCTCTCTCTCTCTCTCTCTCCGTCTCTCTTCCCACACTCTCACGATATCGTTTAACATAACAAGATATTCAACAAAACGGTGAGAAAACTAAACACTGTATAACTATGTGCCTGAGTACACTTTGAAAGACAACGTAAAACTTAGTGCTTAGATCAACTTATATTTGCTTTCTCAACTCACAAAAGTCGTTGTCGCTTCTTTGTAATACTAAATAAAACTAAAACTGAAAATAATAAATTCCACTTATTCCACCCCCTTCGAAATGAGTTTTCCTTGACTGTCACTTCTTTGGAATGTATTTACTGAATAAAAGAAAAACGAACATTCCACAAAATTTTCTTGGGAAATGTATTTTACAATAGCGTACATGGATACACAAAACATAGACTACATTAATACATAAATGCATGAATAATGCATGTACATAATACTACAAACACAGACAATGACACTTCAGTACGTTGCCACTATAATACAGCATCCTGTTTTCGAGCTAGGGTTTGAAAAAGAAAAAAACAAACAGGTATCAGTTACCGTTTTAAGCAAGCCCCCCCCCCTCCCCCCCCCTTTCCTCCTCGACACAATTCAGACTATTCTGAAAGTGGGAGTCCATCCTGCTTGACAGGGATAACATCCTTCTCTCGTCGACAAACTGTCAGTTTAACGAAGACCCAGATCTAGCGTCGGTCGTTTAAGTGTCAATCCTTGACAAAACACACACACACACACACACACACACACACACACACACACACACACACACAAATAAATAAATAAAAATAACTTGGTGTTCCCCGCTTGATATTGACTAATTTTGGGTCGCTGATCACGACAACCTTTTTTTTTTTTTTTTTCATTTTACCAATATTAATCACAAACATTGATTTAGACTAGTTAAAGTCTGCCTCAAAAAGTTTAAGGGGACCAACTTCTAATAATCTCATGGCTGCCGTTACTGCTTGTTTTTTCACCGACTTTTTATCGTCCTATCAATAGTCCCTTTCGTTAATCCGTTTTAACTGCGCGGCGTGGCATTATTATGGCTCCGGCTCCTGGCCTCGATAAAGACAGCCAAATTGGAAAACAAATTGACAATACATTTGCAACAGTGCCATCTATGCTTCTTTGCCTTATTTTCGTGTAAACCCCGGAAACGGTGGGTCACAAGAGAGTGAGAAACTTACAAAAGAAGTAGAGGAAAAATAACGATTAGGAAACATGGCAAAAAGCAGCAGTTCCCCGCATGCAGTTTAGGAATAGTTATGAGCATTACATTGATGAATCAGCCCATTTACAATTTTACTGTTCCCTTAGAGCGTTTGAATTTAAAAGCAATAATTACGTTTTGCTCAAAGTGGAAATAGATCTAATGAGATATTTCTCTTTTTTTTTGGGGGGGGGGGGTGATGAACAATCAACAGAAATTTATTATATGTTTTCATTCAATTTCTTTACTTTCACAACTCAAGGATGCCACTTCGATTCAAAAGTTATGTTAATTATGCTCCTATAGTGGAAAAGTTGTTTTTTGTCTAATCAAGTGATCGCTCATCGCTATTAACGATATGGAACTTTTCACTTACAAACACTACCCAGCATCTATAAAATGCCAAGAACAAATGACAATGTAAAGCTGACACATGATAACTCTATCTCGCTACCCACTGTGTTTTGTCTCTCGATAAGTACTGCTGTACGTTTCATATCTTTAGACCAATTTTCTCCTACCCCGCCCATCCCACCTTCCCACCCTTGTCTTGTAGATTTTAGACAGCATGCGTTTGATAGGTCGCCACTGATCCGGCAGTAATCTAATGTTCAATTTAATTTTGCAGACATATAATATATGCACGTATGCCCGTGCACACAAGCAGACAGGCACACACACGCACACACACACACACACACACACACACACACACACACACACACACACACAAATACACATTCACACACACACACACGCGTCCATACAAACACACACATACATCCATACACAGTTAAACTTGCATCAAGAGAAGAGAAAGCAATCATTGCAAAACCTGAACCAATATCTTCATTAATTAACACTGATTGTTTTATTACAAGGTGTGGCTTCTGGTATCCTTTGAGGCATGAAAATGGTGGGGGAGGGGGAGAGAGAGAG